CGAATTTCAACATACAACAGAGGTGATCCTGTTGATGCCTGAGGAAGCTATATGGCAGCTAAGATGGCTTTTTAAAGCCAAAAAAGATTCCAAAGGATCAAGCTATGTCAAAACTAACACAGACAGACAGTTAATAGAAGCAGAACATCACAGTTACACCCAAAGAATTTGGTAAGAAGTAGTTCGACATTGTTATGCAAACAGCCTTGGAAATGCCCCAGTAGAATACTGCATCATGGATGAACTCTGTGTCTGATGAGTGCCCAAGTTATTCTTTCAGTCACAAGCAGCCAAGTTTTTTCTCAGAACCCCACTGCTCAGAAATCAGGTGTCTTAGATAAAGCTCTTTGGAGTCTGAATTTAGAATCATATCTGTTTATTCCTGCCCTTCTTGCTCTAGTGCATAGGAAGTCTCCCAGCATGACTATGAAAAAACAAGTTATGATACAATGATGGTGAAAGACTGCATGGAAAACACTGGCAAGAAAAAAAAAAAGTCTAACCAAGCCAGAAAGCTAAACAAATAACAATGAGAAAAAAAATCACAGGAAATGGAAGTCTCAACCATATACAAAGTGAGATACAAATCTGGCTGCACTGCAGCCACCCAGGTTATAACTTCCTCAGTTACTTTCATTAGCAGTGCTTCACTGCAAGAATGCTACTGTGCTTCTGAAAGGCTTTTCATGTCACAGCAGTCAGCAGCCCAGAGGTTCACAACCCACCAGCCACTGAGAAAAGCACAAGCACACTGTCATGAAAGAAAAATCAGTATAATGAAAACAGAAGTATTACTTCTTTATTATCATAAGCTATTGTTGCTGTGACGCTAAGCCTTTCAGCTACAACAGAAAATGATTGATTGTCAAAACACTAATTTCTGAAGTGGTGGGCAAAGTAGTACTAGCAAATTTTACAAAACCTCTAAGAATCCACATCAACTTCAGCTGCTGCTGAAAAAAGGCTCACCGCAGATCTATTTTGTTGCTTTTTTGGTGTTAATTATTAGCAACCTTTAAGAACTATTTTAAAAACAGCTCTTTTGTTGACTGCTTCCTTCCACGCCTCCTTCACACACCGATACTCAGCACAGCACGACCGGCAGTAGGAAGAGAGCTGCTGCTCCCAAGTGGAGTTTGAGGGGTGCTGCGTGTTGCGTTCTAGCAGTCAACAGCCTGATACAACATTCAATAGCAACTCCCCCTCTTTTGCACTCTCATTGGCAATACCTTGCTAAGCTAGGAAAGAGAACATTAGTTTGATTATAGGGAATCACAATAGTCCTGTGGGTGGTGATTATTAACAATTGACTTTTACTTCAAGATTACTGATGCTACCACTGTGAATAACTGTTTCCACATAGTATCTGCCTAGTATGTTTATTTTACTACCTCCTTACCTCCAAGAAAGGGATACACATAAGCCCAAAATTTGAACAACAGCCTGGACATCCCTCCACCCAGCCCTTCACAGTAATGAGGGGCAGGGGAAAGAATAAAAAAACCAACTCATTTTTTCTATGACAGGCCACTGAAAACAACATAGTTCCAGATGATTTAGGGAACTTACCTTCTGAGCCTCAGACTTGGCAGTCTTGTTCCCAGTATCTAGAGCAAGGCAGAATAGGAACTCTCTTAAAGCTTCTTCTGTTTTCCCCAGATTAGCTAATGCTTGTCCTTTCCTTAAGTGACCCTGCAACAACATATCCACAGCTGCAGCTTTCATTCATTTTGTTGTGAGAATGCAATAAAAGCAAGATGAAGCAATAGAAAATCTTTCCAGACAGAGAAAGTTAGGCAGGGATAATTCACTAAAACAGTCTATTACACCTTGACACCACCAGTGCCTGCATTTCAAGCTCTTACAGGCAGAACAGGGATATTCTCCAACTCGGGCAGATATAATTCTCAAGGCACCTGAGCCCAGCTGATCTTGGAGAAATCTACTTCCCCTACATTAATCTCCTAACTAGTGATTACTTCCTTATATAAAGATATAAGCACAACATCCAGTTTTTAGAGACAGTTCATGAACTTGAGATGCCTGCAGGTCAAAAACAACAGCGCTAGCTCATCCTCCAGGATCATCACTCTCTTCTTTCACCCTAGAAAGCTCAAGAATACCATGGTTCAATGTCTGTAAACCACAGGAGTCCAAGAAATTACAAGACAAAGCTTGCCTCAGATTCAGCTCTGACCAAGGCAATGGTTTTCTATCCAGGGCAGCAGCATAAAAAGCAACTGGAGTCAGAACTTACTTTCAACCAGTACGGCTGAAGTCTGCATGCTGCTTCTGCATCATGCAATGCCTCTTCACAAGCTTTCAAAGTAGAGTTAATCTGGGACCGGTTGCTGTATAGTAAGTGGTCGTTTGGGGCTGTAGGAAATAAGAGAAATTGGTTGATTAGCCGAACTTAAAAGTAGTTACATAAGCTTTATTCTTTTCAAATTTATTTTTGAAGCACACGCTGTTCCTCACAAGTTGTGCATTAAAAAAAAATATATATACCCAGTCTTTAAATAACCGTGTAGTAAACGAAATATGGAAACCTCTTCGTGCAGCTCCAGCCCAAGTGCCAGCTACACATTACATAACCGCAGGAAACATTGCATAAAGAAGCGCCCAGACACTTGCACAATAAATCACCGGCTCCGACCGAGGACCAGAAACTTACAGGAGACATTTGGGGTGGCAGGAGGAAGGCTGCTATTGTGTAGACGGGAGTTTCAAAATTGCAAGCGTGAAAGTTTCGAGGGGTGGGCGCGGTTCCCTCCGTGCCTCTGCTGGAGGTGGGAAGAGGAGCGCTGCCCACAGGCACCTGTCCCCGCCGCAGCAGGGCACAGGGGGCTCGCAGCTCGGGGCTCGCGGGGGGGCTCGGGGCAGCCCCGCAGCCGGCTCCCCCCTTCCCTCCCAGCTCCTTACACAACGGGGCCGGACCGCAGGCTCCCGGCTTATGCAACCGCTGCTCTCCTGACCCACTTTCACCGCGGGACGGAGCCTCCCAGCTTCCCCCCCCTCCACCTCCGCCTTCCTCACCTAGGCTGAGCGCCTCGTTGTACTTCTGCAGGGCGGCTTGCAGCTTCTTCTCCTCGTACAGGCGGTTCCCTTCGTGGCGGAGCTGCGACGCCTTCACTTGGCAGGGGAACCACTTGGCCAGCAGGTTGCTGAGGATGACATTGACCCGCGGGAGCTGCCCGCCCGCCGCGCCGCCCTCCTCCCGGCACAGCACGCAGCGGGCCCGCGGCGGCCGCTCCCTCTCCAGGCACTTTTTGCAGAACGTGTGGCCGCAGGGCAGCGACACGGGCTCGAAGAGGAAGCCCTGGCACTTGCGGCAGCCGAACACCTCCCAGTCGCGGGGCTGCTGCTGCTGCTGGGGGCCGCTGGCGGCGGCGGGCAGCCCTTCCCTCAGCCGCACGCCCCTGGCCAGGCACTCCACCAGCCGCCCCAGCTGCTCGGCCCGCAGCTGCCGGTGCCGGGACGCCAGGCGGTACAGCGGCAGCGCCTCGGGCAGCCTCCCGGCGGCCGCCAGCCCGTCGGCCCGCCCCAGCAGCGCCCGCCACTCGGGGGCCCGGCTGCCGCCCGCCGCCAGCTGCTGCAGCACCAGCGGGGGCTCCGGCGGCGGCTGGCGGGACCCCATGGCGGCGGCGCCCCTCAGCGAGCCAGGGCGGGCGGGGGGCGCGGCGGGGCCCCGGCGGGCCATGGTGCTGCCGCCCCGCGCCGGGAGCGTCCCGGCCCGCCGCCGCTTATATAAGGGCGGCCACATGATGCGCAGAGCCCCAGCTCATTGGGCGGCGCCCGCGGGGTGTTATAAAACCGGGCGGTTTTGTAACCGCTGCTGCTACTGAGGGGAAGGGGGGAGACGCCCGCCTCCGGGCGGTGAGGGGTCGAGCCCCTCGGCTGGGCTCGTTGTGGTGCCTGAGGGGGGAAATGCCAGCCCCCGGGGAGCCCGGGAAGCGCCGAGCGCTGTGGTGGCTCCGCTCGGGCTGTGAGGGCGCGCGGGGCGTCGCTCCCCTGAGGTGGCGTCGCGCCCCTGAGGTGAATCCGGGCGGCTGAGGGAGCCGGGGGGTCAGGTCCGGGAACGGGAGGCTCAGGGGAGACCTCACTGCTCTCTGCGAGTACCTGGAAGGAAGGCGTGGGGAGCTGGGGGGCGGCATCTTCTCACAGGTAACTAGTGGTAGGACTAAGGGGAACGGCCTCAAGTTGCGCCAGGGGAGGTTTAGGTAGGAATTTCTGAGATGTTTCTTCTCAGAAAGAGCGGTCAGGCGTTGGGACGGGGTGCCCAGGGAGGTGGTGGAGTCACCGTCCCTGAGGGGTGTTGGAAAGGAAAGGTTGGATGTGGTGCTTAGGGACGTGGTTTAGCAGGTGATGGTGGTAGGATGAAAGTTGGACCAAATGATTTTTGAGGTCTTTTCCAACCTTCATGATTCTGTTTTGATGCAAGCTGGCCGTGCTGGTAGGAAACGCAGGCACCACATGGGAGTGAAATGCTAGGTTTGTCTGGTGTTGCAGTGGGACATTTTGTAGACGTACATCTGGCCATACTGAGTTCTGTGTGTAAAAAAAATAAACAAAAATGACAACAACAAAACCCACAGCTCTTAGGGTATGTTTCTTTTATTGAAGACTTGCTGCGTTGGCTGCTTCAACCTGCACATACCCAGCGGTTTTCATTGTATGAAAGGCTGGCACTAGTTGTATAACTCCATGCAAAACGGAGTGTAAGGAGAAAATGACCTGCATTGCCGTGGAATAGGAGCAGTTGCTTTGAAATTAGTTGTCTGATTGTTTTTGCTTGCAGTTTTACACAGATTTATGGTCAGAGTTTCTATAAATGTCCAGGATGCATGTATGTATGTATATGCTCTAAAAATATAGGCCACTTTTCACAATGCCTTAATCTCCTGGAGACTTTGAAATTTCTGTGAATATCCTATTAGTGATACTATTAGCTCTTCAGCTTTGTGATGAGGCTGAATTAATTTCTCATTTCTTACTTACAGAAGCATCTGGACTCCCCAGCCTGGAGTGTATGAGGTAAGCAGGTATTAAGGGACAAGCTGTGTCCTGAGGGGGTCAAATGGATGGGACAAAAAAATAGAAGGAGGGAAAGGTCAACCTGACTTTTGTAAGTCCCTGTTCAGAGAGGATGCTTAAGAAAATTCAGGCAAAGTGAAAAAGTAATTTAAAGCCACTTAAATTCAGGATCTTATATCTTAATAGCATAGATTGTACATTAATAATGAGAGCTAGTCTTGTGATGCCTATGTGCTGGCAGTCCTTAAGCTTATATTGAAAGCCAGCCATCAGACCCTGTGGTCATCTTTGATTCCTGTGATGATAAGACTCTTTTGCACCTGCCAAAAATTTGGTTTTTGTTCCTTTGGCTCTTGGAAAAAAAAAAAAATATATATATATATATATGTATATTTCTTAAAGTTGCCAGGTAAGTCCTTTCATTAGAAAAAGTTTAATTGAATAATCACTGGTTTCAGTAATTCTTTCTCCTATTGGTTAAGTCAGGCAATAATCCAAAGAACAGCACAGCCTGGCATCAAATAATTCAAAGAAAGGACAACTGAAGTACTTATAGTTTCAGTTAGGCAATGCTTCAGAACAATTAGGAACAGTTGGCACGTGCTCAGAAGTGTGGGTTTTCCCCACCAAACTCAGTCTGTCTAACAGGACATAGACAATTTGTTTTCCAACTTCTGTGCAAAAAAACTTGTGCTATAAAAGAACAAAATCCTTAACAAAAAGAAAAAAAAACGGAAAAAATGTGTTCTTGTAGTCTTGAGGTTGACAGTTGTCTCCATTGCAAAACTATAGACTCGGCAACCCCTCAGTGTGTTATTTTATAACCATTGTCCTGAAAACCACTATGAGTCAAAGCCTATTCAAGCGAGGGAAAGTGACATAACCACTGGTTACCAGTAGCAATGCAATGACAATCTCTCTATCAGGCATACGCCAACAGTATTTACATAGTTACATAGCAGACACTTTTAAAGAGATAACAATTGTGGAATAAAGGGAGGTTTTCTAGCAGCACGTGAATTCAAGATAGGGAATAGAAATAGATTATCACTGAAAATGTAATCAGGATTTGTGCTCTGAAAGGAACTTCCACAGATTCTATTTACAGCATAGGAAAGCGTCCACGGGGCTAGCTGACAGTCTGATCACTTGGGACTAAAATGAGTCTCAAAAAAGCACTGTGCAATGTACCTCTGGGAATTCTCTTACACCAGCAGGGACGTAGCTGAAATATTGCAAGAGAAAAGGGCAGCTGGGGCTTGTGAGCTGTTGCAGTGGTAGAGGCTGTATGCTTATGTAGATCATAGAATCACAGACCAAAGCCAAAAAACTGTTAAGACCATATCGTGGATGGCTTATGGGCACCAGCTCTATGACTTCTTGGGGAGGAAACCAGCTGGCTCTGCCTCTGCCAGTTCCTGCTGTGCGTGATGTTTGGTAAACGTTAGTACTGTGTGGGGTGTGACAGGTACAGAGTGAACCTTACGCTCGCTAACTTAAGTGTTTTAAAGCCAAGATACTACTTCACTTTTCACCAGTACAACTACAAAATGCATGGTTCTGACAACCTGCCCAATTCTGGAAAGACTGCTTTAGCAAAAACAGCTGTATAAACTGAATGTACATACTCAATCCGGATATGCTGTTTTTTTGTTTTGCTTTGTTTTTTTGGGGGGGGGTTTATGTAACATTCTGAAAGCATGGAGTTGTCTTACATTCATATGTGTTGATGGATTTGGAGCAGCAGTGGGTCATGAACTGTATTTGATTATAAAGGGGGGAAAAAAAAGGAAAGCAAACCCTACCTACCTGCATTGTTCATGAGATCAAGAACTGATTTATCCTTCACTTAAACAGAAGAAGTTAAAGCTAGGAGGTGACTCACTCTGCAAAAGCACATCTCTCTTGTATGATTTTTCTACAAAGGGAGGTTTAATTTCTTCCTTTTAATGACAATGAGCACAATACTGATCTTCTTCCAGCAGTTAATGGCTGGCGTAACAGACAGCATGAGAGCATGACTACATTCTTCAGCCTTCTTTGGGAGCTATGATCTGCATCACACTTAGAGACCACAAAACCAGTGAACAATCCTGCTCCTTTCCCCTCATGAACACAACTAACCACGTCTGAAATTCTGACATACTACTCATCCTGATGAAGCTTCTCCACTGGGAGTAGGAATGTTAAGTCACATAAAGCCCCAGATGGCTTTTTCTACTTCAGGTGCTTCACACTAACAGTCCATAGGTGAGAAGAGATTTGGACAGATGGCCCATGGAGTTGAGCCAATTAAAACCCAAAGTCAGGAAGCTGCACTAACTTATGGTTAGGTAGAGAACAGGAAGTGAAGACGTGTTTTTTTTTCTGTGTTATTTCGCTCCTGAATCTCTGGACAATTTCTAGCAATTATCTTTAACTCTCATTTTACGTTCTGCCTACTATGCCTACTCCTCCATGCACTGGGTGTCTCTGTTACCATATACAAATTATTTACATTGAAAAATAATCAAACTCAAGTTCTAGTTTGAATGTTTTGACATGTTAATCTTGAAAGAAAAAGCGTAATGTTCCATGTGCCATAAAGGAAATGAAAGGGAGTAATGATGAGGGAATTTATGTTCACGTCATAGTTAGAAAATCACTAGGATTAAGACATTCACAAACACATTAGCCAGATTAAATAAATGCATGGCACCATCAAATAGAGAAAGCAAGTGTATCACTGGGGTTTGTTTTTCAGGGACAAGTACTAGTAGAACTTGTACAAGTCCTTGTTACCTATTGATCCGTGAACATTGTGTAGTAAGAAAAGCAGCGCCCTTCTCATGCAAACCTGCCAGCTTCCTAATTGATTGCTGACTAGCGATTGGCTTGACAAGACTTCGGGACTCAAACAGTGAGCATCCCATTCCAGCTGTATCTTTCACTGTGTGATGCTGAAAGAGGGACTCGCAATGTGTCCCTAAGCATAACCAAACCTAGAGTGAGCTGGGTAAAATCAGTTCTGTTCAGACATATCCAGACTCCTAGAAGGTTACTTTTATTCTGTATTGAAATGAAAAGACTATAGTCACAAGTTCAATGGAATTCCAGAGTATTTTAATACTGAAGAAAGAAGATATTTCAGTGCCAAACAAATATTTAATGAATAACTCACCAATTGAAAGGCTCATTTTATCAAAACTGAGGAACTATCCGACAGCCATTCCCACTAGCCATTTTGGTGAAAACTGAACTGTTTTACTGAAAAGCTTATCTGTCAAAAGCAGAGCCCAAATGAACTCTTTTTGCAAGTAAGAAATAAAAACCCAAGTGTTTAAGCTCCTGTCCGTGTGCACAGTAAACCACCAATAACAGTAACACGATGCTTAATGTGTGTCAACTTGAGACTAAGAGGTCCATCAGCCCTTCCAGAGAACAGGTGGAAAACAGTCAGGAAGCCCTTCCATTTCTGGGAAACACATGCACCTGCTGTTACATAACCTCTGAATGAATATGTTCTGTCTCGAAGGTAAGCATATTTATGGATTCTTCTATGCTGACCAGTGAAAATTGTCTCGAGCAACAGAAGATGTTAGACACCCATGCAGTGTTCCATTTGTCATAAAAGGCTTCATTAATGGTCTCAGCTGAGATACCTTTCCAGCTCAAAACCATGTAAAGATAGACATTTAGAAGGGAAAAGTTATAACAGGGAACATAAGAACATATGTTTTGTTTCACGCTTTGTGATAATGGAATTCCAGTAAGATGAACAAACTTCACAAAGCAAAACCAAAACATCAAATTACTGCAATATAGAGACCTCCTGAAGTTAGAGAAGCTAATTTTTATTTGCTTTGCTGTGAGCTAAACACAATAGTTAATAAATATGGATCAAACCATACTGTAAGTTGATGGGTCCCCTACAAAGACAGCAAATAGGACACGCAGCTTTTTAACAGTTCAAAATAATGGCTGACCAGTTTATTATTTGAAATTACAGGACGCTTTCACCCATAGGTTTGAAAAGCTTTGTCTTGCAGCTATTCATCTGTCTGTAGATTGGTATGGACTGCCACCAAAGAAGTCTCCTCTTAAAAAGTGTAACACCGAAGTCTTACGCCTGTTGTGATTCTTAAAATCCAAGACCAACTCGTCCTTTCCTGCACAAACACCTGTTGAAGTGTAAAAGGCCTCCCAGATCCATAATTTTAATTTCAGTAGTTTTCTGCAAGGAATGAGGGTGATAAAGGTGAGTTCTACACTCACACAACATGGGTAGGAGAAGTATGGGTGGCACCACTTAGATAGAAACCCAGCAAGCAGCTAGGTTAAGCCATTGCTTAACACTGGTAGCAGCATATGTGTTCTAGATTACCTCTGACAGCCGGATAAATCTTGTATTTGTAGGGCCCATCAGCTCTGCTGTTTGGCCGTTGCTCAGCCTTCATGTCTTTGCTCCTGAGGGAAAACTTTCAGCCACTGATTCAGGAATGCATCCCTTCTTGGCAAAACCCTTCCGGTAATATCTGTGGTCCCCTTGAGTTTAAATGAGACTTCAAACATATGCTTCAAATTAACAGAATTCCTCAAAGCTTTACGCATGGGGCAAAAGAACCTTCAGCCTGTGCTTAACTGTTTTTTTGACTTGGGTGCTTGAATATCCTCGTACCTGTCACCTTCATCCTCATCCTGTGTTCTGACTTGCACTACTAATGAGTATATCAGCTGTAGTGGTCTACCATGCTGCTGCCTTCTGCTGTTTGCTACCATCTCAGGCCAGAGGTTTCTGCCCTGTAATGAGTCAGACAATTCAGTTCACACTGAAGACAGGAAATGCATGAGCTAAGGCAGGCATTCCCACTTAGAGAGATTACTACTGTTTATCCCATACTTGTCAACCTGGCAGACTTGCATTGCACTTTCCACTTCTTCAGTTCCATGGAATTAGTTTTAGAAGTTCAATTCATACTTCTTTCTTGGTCTCCAGGCTTACAATTTTCTTCAAAATTAGCTTTTAAATATCTGTACCTATACCTGAGTCACCAAGAAGGCAGACAGCAATTTTACTTATGCCAAACTCAATCAATTTCACATTTGTTGTACTACAGCACAGCAGTGGGTTGCTTTTTTTATTATTTTTATTTTTTTTTATTTGAGACATTGCAGGGCTTTCTTCTGATACACACTGATGGGGCTTCTGGGAGCAGGCTTTCAAAAATAATTAGAGTGATGAATCATAATCAGGAAGAAATGGTTCTTACATCTATTAAGACAGTTATTTAAAAATGTTTTGATGAATCATGCAAAAATGGTCACAAATAGGATTATACTTTTTCCATCAATATATTTTTTGTTTTTAAGTCTTAAGAAAAGAGCTTGTGCTTTTAACACTTGAATTGAAAAAATATTTACAACTGACATAAATGCTACATTGCACTTCAGACAGGCAAAGTGGTGATGGTCCTCTGCTTTACCATTCATGAAATTCACTGAGGATTTCAGATCTGTTCTGTAAACTCCCGATTTAGAAGTGTTCAGTCCTGGATCTTCATTATGCTTCTTTTCTCCAAATCATTCATTTCCTTCAGTATAAGGGCAACATTGTATCTCAGCTCCTGAAACTTTGCAACTGGCACCTGAAACAGAACACTTAGGTTAGAAAATGTGACTCAGGAACTTTGCATAGGGCATGCCTATGGATAGGGAACATTCCACAGCAGCAGCCCAATCTCTCAGCTTTTTTTTTATTTAGACTTAAGACAAAGGATTTGAGGTTAATAAAATTAATTCAAATAAATCATTTTTAAAATTCCTCTTTTTATAAAGAGGAGAAGAGCAGAAAAAAAATCAAATAACACCTACACAGTACGTTTTCTATACTATATGATGTGAGAAAGGAAATATATAAGAATGTCAACAGATGGCTGCTGGGGTGAAGTAAGAGTCATGGGTTGGACAGAAAGATAAAGAGATCTGGAAGACTGTGTAGTGTACAGAATTCTCAAGCAACGAATTCCAGATATTTTCCTTGTCCAAATTTGCAGGAGAAAGGAATCAAGCCTCTAACCAAGAAAGAGATTCAGCAGCAACCTCAAGAGCAAAGAAGACTGTGAACTAATATACATTGCTGAAAGCAGGCAAGGGCTACTACTGGGTGAGAATTTTTTTCATAAGGAAGAAAAATTTGTCGTTAAAAATCTCTTCACCATCAACTTATGGAACTGGATCAGTGTAGTAAAGCAGCACAGAAAACCATACACAAAAAAACATTTGCTTAGTTAACTAAGGACCTGCCCCAAGTCTCCACTGCTGTCAAAGTCAGAAGGGAAAAGCAGACCATATACTTTTTCAGGCTATAGCAGTGTGTCAATGAAAGAACTGTGGCCATCAAGTTCCTCTTTCACTGTGAGGTTAAAATTTTCAAAGTAATTAATTAAATTCAAAATAATTAACCTATGCAAACAGGTGCTGCCCTGTCACCCTCTCCACAAAGTTATATTTACAGCATGGTCACAACCATAACAATTCTGATTATTTGGGTGAATTTCCTTTTGAAATGATCCAAGAGCTGTGTGAGGCAATGCTCAGGGTATAAAAATCCAGTTATGTTGTAGTTACAACTCCTTGATTCTATACCAGACATTTTCAGATGTGTTGTATCTCAGACTCAACTTTCCTGTTATCTTGATATGCCAAATTGATGGGGGTTTTGTGGGTGCCAACTAGCAGAGAACAGAAGATCAAACTAGATTTAATCTTCTTTGAAGCAACTACTACATAAACATGACTTCCAAGGTTCTTACAGGTCTCAAATCCAAATTCTTTGAGCCTGGACTTTTATGTGGGTCTTGATATATCTTCAGTTTGCAAATAGCACATCCAAAACAAGAGGCCTTGAGTTCCAGATTAACTCAGCTAAACACTTGAATCAGATGATAAAGACATGAGGTGGTAGAGAGGAGTCGAAAGAATTATAGTGTCACTTATGGGGATATTACCACAAAAAGACTATTTAACTAATGAGCAGACAACAGCTTTACATTCAAACTGAATAGTATATTTCTTTATCTTGCCACCTAGTCCTGGTTAAAATGCAGTTTTACAAGGGATTAATGGTGACTAACTGCTCAAACACAGAAGAGGCCTTATGGTTGTCTACACTGACACTACACTGCAAGTTTACAGTCAGTTTCATAAATGAGCCTATTATGAAGCTAATGAGATAACATCTTCAAAAAGAGGACAGCCTTAGACAGCAAAAGCTATGTGCTGCAATTCAGCATTGTAAATGCTACAAAACTAACTGGACAAGTGGACAGCAGGCATTTGTTTATGCACAAGCTTCCAAGTTAAGGAGATCAGCTTTTCAAAGGCCAAGAGGTAAAATCAGGTTATGGAAGGGCAATGTCTGCTCTCTGTGGATCAGGCACCAATGGTACCCATGGTCATTATTTCATTGCACGAGATTCATCATTTGGAGGAGCGGGAGAAGGCAGAAGACTAATGGATTTTCCTTTAACATTTTAAGCCAAATGGATGGAAGTCTATTTAGTGCATTTAAGACCCTTCTGAGAATGCATCTGAACACAGGCACAGACTGGTGGGACAGATGTGCTTGCGTGGGTACAGTCCCAGGCTGCTCTGCAGAGCACTGGCTAATTTGCTTTACTTTGTCTACACTGAAGGCACAGACTCCTTTGTCATCCTACCCACTGTAGCACGGATATCAATTATGTGACAGGAATCCAGCATCTGATTTACAATTCCCATATGTATCAGAAATGTATAAAATGCATTTTTGACATATATACCACGAAACTTGAAATGAAAACTTGAAATCAGAAACTAGTGTGCTTAGACAAAAAAAAAAAAAAAAAAAAGCCCAAAGGAAAAAAAAACAAAAACAGGAGACCAAACAGTGCAACTTCTCCCTCTGGCATGTACATTTTAAAATTGTTCATAATGGAATTATCTTTGGGACTTATCACCTTACATAAGCCCTGTTAGTTAAGGGGACATTCAGTACATGTTGGAATGAAAGGAAACTGAAGAGGTGAGGACTCTGTTTACTTGCATATGTTATCTCAAATCAAAACACAAGTTTATCTCAAAAAGTCTCTGTGTGAAGACCGCTCATCAGATACAGAAATCCTGTTTACAGACAGATCTTTGGTATTCAGGTCTAAGCAGCAGCAAAATGGTGATTTTAAGAGAGAGGCATACTGTTTGCTATCAGCTATCTGTGCTTCTGCATGCACTGGACAGGCATAGCAGCACATCCCCACTGCAGAATAGCTCCAGCAATGTGTCTTCTGCAGACTTAAACAAACAAAACAACAACAAAATCAAACCAGAACAACAAAAATTTCCCAAACCAAAATACCCCACGAATCATGCCATCAAGACTTGACATTAAAAGGAAACAAAGACCCAAATCAAAACAGTTAAGAGTACATGCTAGTTTTTATTCTCTTAAGTGAAATTCACCATGCTGTAAAGAGTTAACCTGAAGTCCCTGGCATCACTTAAGTTCCATGGAAGACCTCAGTCAGGGCTACAGTCCTCCTAAGGAGGACTATCCACAGAGAAGTGAATTTGACCTTCTGTGAAGTGACACCCCAACACTTTGCAATGTAGCACAGAATTTATGCCTTCCTCAACAGCTGTCTTCTGGCGAAACGTAACACTGATACCACTCCACCTCTTTCAGCCCTCTGTGCTTTGGTGCTTCCTCCAGACTACTACTAATGCATGAACTGAAGCCAAAATCTTTAAAGAGTTCAAATGTAACAACGCCTGTTGTGCACTGAAATCCTGCATGCACTACCACGTTATTTATAGAACAAACAGCATTCCTTTTCAAAGGTTAAAATTATGGAAGGGTTTATGCCATTTTCTGGCAAGCAATTACGTACAGTGTCATAAATGCTGCCACTGACTAATTCTGAGGTAAAAAGCAAGAAGTTTTTTCACTTCCTAGCAGCAAGATCTGAAGAAAACAAAACTACCTCTGCCACAGAAGAGAATGTTTCACCAGGTAGGAGGTTTAGTAGTACACCATATATTATATAAACTACACACTAATTTTTCTCCTCTCAAAAGCCATCATCAGGTCTGAAGGTTAGAGTTGATATCTAAACTGTAATTTTTAACCAAACCAGGTATTATGCAACAGTACTTTTCAGTATAACATTCTTCTACCAAACGAATTTGCAGCAAAGTTTGAGTAGGAACAAGGTACAAAATGATTTTAGTTGGCATTCAGTTATGTGTTGTATGTGGTAACACTGAACATGGAGGAAAGAACAAACCAACCAACGATAATGCATTGTTTACAAAAGCTTTAAGGTTTTAAATAGTAATTCAGCTTTCTAAAAAGAACTTTAAGTGGTTTCTTTTCTATTTATTGCGGCAATCAGACTTACTTCAAAGCGATGAGCTGTCCCATCTGAAAGCTTCATCAGCATTAAAATGGATGGTTGAAGTGCACGGGCCAGTGAACTGAAATTATTTACATTATTAGCACTACAACAATAGACAGCAGCAGCGTGACGAGTATAGCATTGTAGGCTAACCATTTAAGATGTTCATACAGGCTTTACATAGAACACATGAGTAATTTCTATTACAGAGTCACATACCTGGCTGGTTGGAAACTCATAAACACAGAAGTCTCTCCAATTTACCTCAGTATTGAGACTGAAAAAACGTCAATAGTTTAATGGCAAGCTTAGGAGCATTTTCATTTTACATAACTGTCAGTTTAGTGGAACTGTGATAGGGATAAGAGCTGACCAGCTACTGCTAGCACTAATGAACACTTTTTTTTGGTGCATTTTCCTATGTTGCATTAACCATTTCCATCCCTTCGTAATTTCAATTGTTGTCTCATTTGGGGAAATAAGTTCTACCAGTCTCCATCCTAAATTTGTGGGTTGCTCTTTATTTTACTTGATGACCCAATGAGGGGAAATGAGTCATTCTTGTGCAGCTTCCATCAACAGATCCTGCCAAAACCTGCTCAGGTACTGACAGGCATTACAGCCAGAAGCCATGCCTCTTCACAGAGGCTGTTGCTGGATGATAAACAAGAATTCCCAAGGGGAGGTTGACTGGAAAGGAAAATAAGAGGAAGGAAAATAGAAAAGGATAATGCTTTGCTCCTGTGTTGTTTGGAAAGCAATCACAGGATTTGCCTGCAGCTTGCAAGCATTGTGCCTGAGGATGTTTATCTGTATGTTTTGTTCTCTTATAGGTGCAGATTTTTCTGCATCGTGATACCTGTGTGGGGCTTACAGCACTAGTTCAAGTGGCTCATCTGAGAGCCACTTGAACTAGAAGCTCGTGGCCATCACAATTTCCACTTAGGAGCCTTTTTCCTTGGCTTCAGAAAGACTCTTTGGCTCTAGCCAAAGATCCATCCCCTAGCTGCCTATGCCGCGGCAGATGGCAAGAAGCTGTTCACTGCAGGCACCGACAGGATGATCACAAAGGCCTTTATTCCTGTTTTGTGAAAGGAGCTAGCAGGCAGATCGATGACCAATTGCATAACTATGGCAGTGTGACGCTGCTGTTCTGAAGCCTCTCTGTCGAGTCTACAGCAGACTTGAGAGTTATGGAAAGTCCTTTTATTTCACGTGTGCTACACACAAATGAGAGTCTACTTGAGAACTGAAGAGACAATTTCCATCCCATACTCCAGCGCAACTGAGAGCTTGGCTGGCTGCTTGAGGCTCAATCCATCTAACTGCTTCCATCATCAGTGAGAACCAGAGAGTTTTATCAGCTCCATCAACTTTTAAAATATTAAAAGAGAGACTCAAACTTGGAGTCAAATGTTTCTAGCACACAAGTTTTAGAGCTTGTAACAAATACGCAGCATCAAAAAATATTAGTAGAAGATAGAGACAGCAGCCTGTTGGCAAGTCTGCATAATAGCAATAACCTTTTGTATATAAACTGACTTACACACTGGTCAAAACATTCCCTCCTTATCTTGCCATTTCATGCTACATGCAAATCCCTAACAGCAAGATACATTTTAACACCATTAACATTTTAAGCAGCACAAGAAGTCAGTTTAACCTTGGACAGATCTTTCCTGTGGTCATGCAGGGTTCTCTTTTTTACCTTGTGGATATAGCTACATCCACTCTCCACTTGAAGTCCTGGACATTTGGCAGCCTACTTCCTTGCATCAGAGCTGTGCCTTCAGAAACAGGACGCCTACAGAGTAAATCAGAAACAGGAGACTGCAATGCAAATTCGTAAAAGCAACAATACATCTGAAAGTAAAATAAGACTCCCCAGAACAAACCTGTCTGGAACTTGTTTCTCTTGTCCATATACTCATTTAGAGAGGTGGCACAGAGTTGTTGAGGTTGGAAGGGACCTCTGGAGGTCATCTGGTCTAACCCCCTGCTCAAGCAGAACTACCTACAGCAGGTTGGTCAGAACCACGTTCAGACAGATTTTGAGTACCTCCAAGGAGGGAGATTCCACAACCTCTCTGGGCAACCTGTTCCAGTGCTCAGTCACCTGCACAGGTGTCCCAAGAGGTTTGAATGGGTGGTTTTGTGTATTTGAGATGGCTGTGCTCAGATTAGCCATTTTTCTGTGCTTAAATATCATCACTGTTTGTTTTTTTTCTTATTAAAAAAAATAAGAGAGAGAGAGAGACAAAGCTACTCCGTGTAATTCCAGTAAAGTCAGGTCATTATAGAGTTTAGTAAGAGTCATCATGGTGGCTGGCGTATCTATTATTTCAATTCTCATGCAACTCTAAGAGGTATGGAAAGGGATCTGGAAATAAATCTCCATGCAGGAACAGAAGACAGATGCCTTCTCAAGCCAGGAAGTTGGAATAAGCTCACTGTGCTCCTTCAGCAGAAAGCATCTAGAATTAGCTAGCAGCAGTGCTTTAAATCTAATGATATTAGTGTGTACTCTGAAGCATACCTTAAAAATAAAAACCATACAGTGGTTCTTACTAATCCAGGATGCTTTACAAATTCCAAATTCCTCATGTGATGTTCACTGCCAGCCCCAGCACCACCTTCATGACTTTTGTCTAGACTAGTGTTTAAGAAGGCCCAGCCTGCCTTTATTACTCATTGCAGGAAGAATCAGGCTCATTAAGCCTCAGTTTATTTCTGGGAGGAAATACAGTTGACATTGATTAAACTTCAGACGGTTGACAGTCTTTAAAATTTTAATAGCATCTTAAGCTCTGGGTAAGTAAACAAGCCAAATCTGATACAAAGACATAACAACCATCCATTTTTAGCTATACATAGAGAAATGCTTTCAGAATGAGATCATTCCACTGGTCCATTAGGGAGCTAGTCTGGACCTGTGTGTTACTTACCAAATAGGTTTATTTTTTTCTTTGCTTTTTTTTTGTTAAGCATCCCATGTCTCTGGCAGTTATTTACAGTACATTTCAAAGCTACTCCAGCTAAGGGCAGGATAAGAAACGTTACATCCTTTATCCATGGTGCTAGACATAATCTAATTACAGTCTTTACATCAGAAAGGAATCCTCTCTGAACAAATCAAGGACTGTAGGAATGATAGTCTAACATCCCTACTCAGCCTCTTGTGTGCAAGTTAGCTGGTGCCTTTAGAAACTGCCAAGAAAGATTAGTGATTTGATAAGGTACAAAACACAGACAGGCTAAAATCCTCCAATACTCTTGCATAGTGCTTTTGCTACATAAGAAAGAAATTATCCTTTTTTTGGGGAGTGCTGGGCAGAAGTGACACACATCCCTAATAGTATGGCAAAGTAATGAGCAGAGAAAAGAGATCAGCTGGTCCTTACTCACTGTACTACTACTAGAAGTAGGTCACCACAGCTGGGTGCAACCATCAGGAGCCAGTCTGGAATGGTCATTAGCAGGATTAGACAATAAGAACAGGCCTTTCCCTCAGTGGTGAGTTGCTGCCAGAGTATTGCTTAATTTGGGGACTGCCTAAAAATAGCCAGACTGCTGCTGCTTCCTTCAGTGGAGGACAATCCATTCAGTGCAACACTGGCATTTTGGGCAAATAATGAGCAGGGATGACAGGAAGGTGTTCTAGTTAGCAGTGATGGGAAAGATCAGTGATGTCCAGACAGAGATGAAATTTCTCAATATCGTTATGTCAATTCTGTGGCTAAACTGGACTGTACTTCAATACCATTCCCTCAGAAAGAGTCACAACTTTTATAGCTCAGTTTCAGCTTCTGTCAGCACCCTTCAACTTGGACAGGATCACAACTGAACTGAAAGAATCCCGTAAGGATGACAGAATGCACGTAGTGGCCAACATACATACAGAAATTATATAGGCATTATATAGGCCCTACATCAAGCCATCAGTTTCTAAGAGGAAGAACAAAATGGAGCAGAAGAGACTCAATGAACCTTGTATCTAACACCAAAGGAATATAATTACATTTCAGAAACTCTCTGTGCCAACAGCTGCAATACACTGTCAGCACATAATGCATAAGACGGAAGTTAGAAAGAGTAAAGCAATATGGATCAATTAGAGAACATCCAAATTACACTTGGGAAGGCTGATACACCTGCTGACAAGAATGTCACCTGCCAAAGGTTGCGGCAGAGCAATCAAAGAGGGAATATTACAGAATTTGGAGCAGCAACAGACCTAACGGTATCAAAACTGAAGAGGAATTTGGGATGGTTTCAGATGCAGATAACATGGGATGCATGTTATGCAGATAACATTGGGATGGTTTCAGATGCAGATAACAACGTAGCCTAGCAGGCCACTGAAGTAGGAGAAAAGTATAAACTGGTATGTGTCAAACACTGTCAGATGGCATGCAGAATGCCCACTCCTGGTAGAAACTAAAGCTATGCTATTAAAACAAACAAACAAACAAAAAAAAAAAACACAGAACATTTACTATAAATATTCAAAGAGGGACAAAATATGGCTATGCTTTCCCTTGGGAAAAAAAAAAAAGTTTTATTTTCATGACGTTATTTTATGGTGCCAGCATGCCAAATTTCTCTTCTCTTTCAGTCTCTGTAGTTTGACAGAACTATGGGGACACAGAATTAAGAATGTTAAATTTCCAGCACTTCAGAGTTGTTTAATGAACAAAATGGCGAAAATAGGATAAGATGGCAGGAGAAGAATTAAAAACCTCTGAAATTGATTTTTCTGGGTTATCTAGCTCATGCTGAATTTTTGATCAGATGCTGATCCTTCTCTTACCATCACAATCATATGTATTTACAACTCAATAAGCATATGTATGATTCAGTGCTACATTTAAGATGATAAAAGCAGATCTGTCTAGAAATCAGATCCAAGGTGCTCTTCTCTGGTCTCAAAACACAGAGCAAGATTACACTGGATAATCACAGCTTTTGAAATGAGAAAAAGCTAAATTTTCCAGCATCGTGATTTCACAGTAGAAAACAGACAATCATGCATGCTTCAAATGACATCTAAATTTATCTTTTCTCCACTGCAAACAATATTTCCACTTTGCAACCATGAATTTTGCATTCTTTAACACCTATAATTCAAACAGAATAGCAGAGAAAAGATGAGAAGGCTGAATTTATTTTTACTCCAAGAACCGTAACTTTTAAGCCAAGATCTTAAGCAAAGAAATGAAAAATATTTTGAATTTTGGTAGCAGCATTCAGACCCTTGCGAGGGTAACTGAAATCCCACAACTAAAACTATCAGTATTCCATGAAGAATATGCGAAGCAGCTCTAGGTCAGTGATGCTGAGTGACCTCACCGCTCAAGGAGGAAAGCTTTGCATATGCACTGAGATCAAGCAGTTTCCACATATAGAAGAAGACAGATATGTTTGAGTAGAGAACTGTACAGAACAACAAAAAGGAAGTCCTAAAAGGAACCACAGAGAGCCTTTTAAGAAACTTTTTGATTAGTACACCCTCTGGAGCTAATGAGGTATATTGCTTGGTGAATGAATAACAGCTAGTAGAGCAGTTGCTATCTGGTATGTATCATCAAGGCACCCAGTGTGAATTCAGCCGTACGTTATCACTTGATTAAATGCTATCTGAGAAAGCTTCCACAAGCCACAGCATGTAAAAGGCTGCTTGTAACTTCCCTGTCAACAAGGCAAGTCTTTCACTTTTGCTCTAACTTGCAATGATAATGATGATAAAAACACTTAATCCTGCACCGTATTTTTCATCTGTAGGTATCGATGCACCTTACAGATGATATAGAACATTATAAAAAATTGACTGGCAATGATCACGAAAATGCCAGGAAAGCTATTTACTGCCACACCTGAGGACAGAAGTTTATACTGAATCAAAATAACTGTGCAAATCTTGTTCTCATGAATTGCTGTTTCTTCAACAGGACTTGGCCAATCAGCAGGGTTGCCCAGTGCATGATACATGAAAATACTAACCTGTTACCAAAGACAACACTGGAAAAGTCCGTGATGAAATCTTCTGGTATCCTTAAAGAAAGAGCAATAGAGAACAGTTAAGTGTTTTGTAACCACAAATAAATGGGCTTAGCTACAAAATAACTATTGCAGAACACAAATACAGTGTCAACATTTTCCATCTTCCATTGCTTAAAATTGCCATCAGTTCTTACGTAAGAACTTCAGTATTGATTCAGTCTAGGCTCTTGGAATAACAGCCACCGTTTTTACAAGAACCCTAAAAGCTGTACTACATCCTCCTGTCCTACAAAAAATTGTAACAGTGAGTTTCAAAAGAACCCCATATTTGCCTAACTTCTCTCATTAAATAGAAGTTTTGCTGATCACTCTGACAAGTGCAGAAGTCAGACCATCAATGAGTGCTTTCAAAAATCGCAAACCTATACGTTTACGTTTTACTTTCACCTTGAAGTGTAATGGAAACAAGATAGAGTGACTTGCTCCCTCAAAAGTAAAAATAGAGGTCCTTGTAGCTAAGAGTACTTACAAAAGGAGTGTACTTAACATGAGGAAGACAAGCATAAATTTATTGGGACTATGAGAACAAGTTGAATACAATAATTCACACTCCATCTGCCTTTTGCCTCTCCACCACTTCACCATTCCCCCAATGCTGCTGCTGCTTTACAAACAAGCTGCTGTTGATTTTCAGTTCAATGTATCAGGCCATGAACTGCAAAGACTGCAGAGCAAACACTATCCATTCAGCTGCCTTTGCCACAGGGACAGTAACCTCCTACAGCGAGGCAAGTTGAACAAGTGGAAGAAGTAACCGCTTCAGCTGCCACGCTTAAATCCAGCATTCAACATGAATCAGTGCCCTGAGACATTACTCACCAATCCCTTGAGATACACAGCAGTCTATCAAAGACAAAGCAAACAAAGAAGTTACCTGTCCTAAAGGGCTTATAGTGTCTGACGATGGGAAAAAAATCAACTCATCAACTCACACAGTGGGAAAATGAAATGGCAGTTATTAGAGTTTGAATCCTTAAAGGAAGAAGTGGGGTTGAAACATGTTTTAAAATGGTACTTAGATAAAACTGCATATAGTAGTATTAGTAAGCTAGTTATCTGAGGCAAGCTGGAAATTGAGGAGGAGGGACTAGACAGTGATTTTCAGCTGCACGTGTCTTTCAGAACAGAAGAGAGAAGGCAACTTCTGCAAACATTACCTACGCTATCTGTGCAAACACATCATTAATCCATGCTGATAATGACCAAATAGCCTCTCTACATAGTGGAATGGCTGGAGAAAGGGGTTGTAATATGATTATTATGATAACTATCACAACACTTACTTGAACGTAAGAGCACATGTTACTAAAATAGAAGCATTACTGCTACCTTGGAGCCTGCATTATTTTTGTTATGCAGTTAGTGATTTTGCTGCAAATTCTGTTCCTAGCTCAAGCAGCTTACACTAGACCAGTCACATACTAAGCAGATCAGACATAGAACATGGCGCAGCTCAGGCCTGAGCTACAGGCGGTAATCAGTTCTCAAAGGAATATTCTGAGGATGGGACTCAAAGGGCAAGGAAGAAGGAGGAAGGATGTCTCAATCCCATGTTATTGGCCCAAGCCATAAACTCATCAAACATACAGAGAAGGGAAGGAGAAAACTAGCACTCACAATTTAGTGTGATTTTTATTCTTACTGACTGAGCCAGCCAGTCAAGCCAAAATAATATGGGATATGGGATGACAACCCTGTGAAACCAGTAGCACCGATCTAATTAATCACAAGTGTCTCCCAGCCTCTGTCTCTGACAAAACTAGAAGCCAAGACCAGCTGCATCACCAGGAAATTGAGAATTACAAGACTTTATGTGGATGGTAACTAGGCCAATCTTCAGCTTCACTGAAAGGAACAGAATAGAATGCATGAGAAGTTGAAACAGGTAACCTGGCTCAGATCTCAATCCTCTAAAAAGAAGATATGACCAAAGGAAAAAAAAAAGGAAATGAGCAAAATTTCTGGCTTAAAATCCAAAATACTTGCCCAAACACTGGGTGCCAATAATGCCATGACATTGCTGTTCAACTACTTACACGTGTTCTTTGTGCACATGATCACAGGATGACCCACAGGAGTCAATGCAAAAGGATAAATGTCTGAATGTAATTAGTAGGTGCCTTAAATCACGCAGGTATTTCACCACCAGACCCGACTGCATTGGGAAACATAGGAAATGACATTTCCCATGGGAATCAAAGGTGCTAACAAATTTACTGAGTACCCTAACTTGGGAGTAGAATGAGCTATTCTGAAAGTTTATCCACAAAGCAAGGAAAGCTACTTACTAGAAAAACAGACTGTCAGAGATGGAAGTTCAGGAAGAATCCAAATAACCTCTGAGAATCATGGGAGCATATGAGCAACTGATGAGCAGCACATAAAACATGTGAGTGCAAGCAACACAAATGCAGTTACCTGAATATTGTTGCTATGTCAGTCACATTAACCAGACCAACAAAATACAAAAGATTTAGCAAGACAGGAGAGAGAAAAGATCATTCAGACCAAAAAGCATCTTCATATGGCCATGAATAGTCCATACAGTAAGAAAAGCAAACAAATACAAAAGAGTAAGGCACTAAAGTGCGGTCAGCTGACAAGGACAGAGGCCTGGGAGCCTGTATTTCTGGACACAGTGTACACAGCCAGCCCAGCCAGTGACTTCTGACACTCCTGTATACCTACTTTCTCTACTGTTCAGTAGAAGAATATTCACCCACCCCCACAGAACTCGGCACAGAGATTTTAGAGTTCATCATTATTCCTTAATCACACTGAATGCATTCTGTGTGCACCTCAAAATACACCAACTCCCACTGGGTCAAAAGAAAGTCATCAGTTTCTTACTGACCTACTTTAACCTGGGTGTGAACTCCGTGACGTGCCAGAGGAAGCAGCTTGCATTTCAGCTCACAAGACAAAAGAAAGGGCAGACTCTAGCACTGAGCTGCAGACAAAATTATATCAACAAGCAAGGCACCTTTCACCATGGCCTCAATTACACCTCTCACCAATTAGACACTGATTATATCCATCAAATTTTTACAACCTTAAGTTGCTCGTAAAGCAACTTATGCTTACAATTCTGCAGAACAGAGTCTGAGGAGGAAGCTGATTTGCAGGATAATGGACAAATATGGAGAAAAGAAAGAATTAGAAACATAGCTGTATCTCCTAGGTAGTAATCAGAATGCAAAGAATTGTAGGAAGTTAACATTTTAAAACATTTGGGCCTTGGTGCATGAGTTTCTCTATAGATGAAAACATAAACTGCTGTTATTCTCTTGTTACCACTGGATATGGAAATCAGGGAAAACCCTATAAAGATTATTAGTATGTGATGTCTGGCTTTTAGGATATGTACTTCTATTCGGAGATACTCTGAACAGACTCTGTAGTCAATGTAACAAACGTTATGCTTTGAAGGGTAATTGGAAGGAGAGATCATAGCTGAACAAGGTGGTAGGATTTCATGCGTGTTATATCATTGGCCTTTCAAAGAAGAAAAAAAAAGTAGGGCAGTTTCTTAGCTTCTGAAATGTTATCGCTGTCTTACCAAACACGTTAAAACATATTGCAGGGCAAGGTGGGGATGACAAAGAGAAGGTCACTCACATTTGCATAACCTACATTACAGGCTAAATTAGACCAATCTCCCCAGCATGTGAAATTTACTGCTCATGCTCAGTGCTAAATCAAGTCTTACACAACACCTGTTTTTTTCCTTTGGCTTCATGTGACATTTGGCGACAGATGTATTGTGTGTTATTTACAGGTAATTTCTATACCAAGTTTGTTGTGTAAAAAAGTTGATTTAGGGTAGCAGTTACATAAAAGTTGTGGAAAAAAAAAAAAAAAAAAAAAACAGATGGAAAAAACAGGCATACCTGAGCTCCTTTAGGTCTTCCTTAAAAACCTAGAAAGACAAGGAAGGTAAAATTTTACAGGATGTAGGCATGACAACTGATTTCTTATCAAATAAATTAATATTGCTTACTTCCTTAGTATTTCCCACCCAAAAGTTTTAGTCTCAAGTGCGAGTAGTTTTGAAATGACAGATTACATATTGAGAAGAATTTCCAAAAGTGTTCCATTAAGTTGTGAGAAATTATTTCTAAAGGCCTAAATCTCTTGGAAAGATTTATTTTTGAAAGCAACATCCCTACTATTTCTTTTACATAGCTATCTGTAACATATCTTATTCTTTAGAGTAGTTATGTGACATTATTCTCATGTGTGCTTTGCAGTAACTCGTTTAAACTATGACAACGGGAGAGAAGCAGCAAAAGATAAGCTCTACATATTAAAAGCACATTTTCACTGAGTTTCCTGCAAGTTTTGAGATATGAAAACAGTCTCTTAAACTAGAGAGGTGTCAGAAGTGGCTCATCCGCATAAAAATAAATTGAGAAAAGAAAAAGTGTAAGGTAACAAAAAAGCGAAAGAAAATAGCTATGAAGAAGGACTAGGGATTGGGACCATGGCAGGTGTATGCATATTCACAAAGAACATCCATAGTGTAAGCACCAGTAGCACTTTCTCCCAGTTCCCACTATGTTGTTCTGGCCATAGCACGCACCTTCCTCTAAGCAGAATTATGAAGACAGACAATTTCTCATAGTTGTCTGTACGTGTAAACAAAATGTGTGAACACACAGGTTAAGGGAGAGAGTCGATGGCAGAGAAATGACATTTTGCAGTGGTTTCTTCTGGGGTTTTAATTTAAGAGTGAAAATAAACATGCACAGTAAACAAGATGCTGCAGCAGAAAAAGACAGAAGAATCTCTTTCCCAAAGCTTAAATTTTTTTTTTTTCTGTAAATCTACACAACAAGAAAAATAACCTCTATGTTTCTAGCAGTTTCTTTTGACTGCTCTAACTTGGATCAACGTTTCTGTGTGGAGCTCCCCGCTCTGGCAAACAGGGTTTAGATGGTAATTCATACAACTTCAGCTTATCGAGGCCCAGAACTTACTTCTTGTTTGAAAGTCGATAAGGGGAGTCTCAGAGCTTCTCGGAGAAGGGTATACATGCCAGAAATGAGGAAAGCAAGCTGCTCTTCTGAGAGATTAGTGCTTTCTGCAATCAGCTTGACAGATTCTTTGCAGTCTTTTCCTTCCAATGCATTAACAGTGACTGTGAATAAGAAAGCAACGCAAGATCCCTTTAGAAAGAGGAAGCCCCAGAGATCATGAACATTAACATAAGCACGTCTGTGATTGTACTTGACTCAGCGTGCTGACATTTTTCCTGGTATCAAACTCTCAAACTGTAAATACATCTGATTATCTTCCACCAAAGGTCAGTCTCGCAACACTTTACCAAGAGAACTTCAACATACTCAGCCTTTGCATTTTAAAATTGGAGATGATTTCACTGTGGAATTTGGTTCCAATGGGATAATGGAAAAACAAATTCATTGCTCATGAGTTCACATATGACGTGAGCTTCTATCATCAATGTTGTTCACATCCAGTCTGCTTACAGCTTAACTACAGCTGTGATACCCAAGAAAGCACTAGAGAGTAAACCATTCAACACTGTTCTCTAACATCTCACACAATTTGTCTTGCAATTTCAGCAGAGACTAACAATTAAATGAACAAGAACGCAAAACTAAACCTTCAAGTCTTATAGTTAGCACAACTGCCAATTTATTCAAGCTTTGAAGGAAACGACTGTTAACACACAGCAATATTACACACTTGAAACTTCTGTGAGTTTATCTCAGTCTTCAGCACTCAGTTATTCATTCTTTTTCCATATCCAACCTGGCTTATACAAATGACAAATTTCTGTTGTCACATCAGCCTCTGTCCTGCACTCTGATCGGTCTCGAGGGACTCCTGGAGCCACAGGAAGCCCCATGGTGGATTAAAAAAAAGACATTACTGACACAATCCCATTGCAGGACTGAGGAATTAGAGTAGTCTTTTATAATGTGTCATATTTAGTGCTGTGAATAAAACATGGAAGTTAAAAATGGCCAGCAAGTCTTACCAAAAGCCAAGACTAAGAGATTAGTTTAATAATATGGTAAAAAAAAGGTTGTAAACTGTCAGCCTTCTTTTTGGTATTGTGTGGCTTCCACTGACTGCTGTCTTCTTATTCAGGACAAATTTTCTTTGCTTTTCACATTCTTACATGCACATGAAATTCAGTGGTGAGTCCTGGATCACTCATGTGGCTGGCTGAATGTGTACGGCACGATCTGCAACGCAAACTCGGCAGTGGTTAGCTAGGATGGACAGGGTGCTCGCACCAAGCTTTCCACACTGTCTGGAAAAGGCTCTGCTCTAAGACAAAGAAACTGCCTTTGAAAAAAAGGAAGAAGATTCAATTCACCGGAAAAGCCAAGCACAGATCACCACTGAGGCTTGTTCACTGGATCACGTGCAGAGCACTTCGTCCCAACGGAGCCTCCCTGCTGAGAGTCCCTTGCTCCTACAGGATGCTGCAGGCCACAGACTTGCAGTTTAGCACTGCCTACAATACCATCACCTACAGATACTGTTATATGCAGTCTTTGTGTCTTTAAATGAGTGGGCATATGAAACAGCATTTTTTTTTTTAATATATTAGTTATTATTCAGTGATAAATTGACTCCGACAGCCTCAAAAAGACAACTTGGTGCAAGTGCCAGCGCAATCTGGACACAGCCAGCTGAAATCTGTCACATCTTCATACTGCCCGTGCTTGGAAGGGCACACTGCCGTCCTGCACGCTGTGAATCCCAGCCCAGCGAGAGCAGAAAGCTCCTGGATGCTTCTGCAGGGCCCTGGGAGCCCATCTGCGGGCACTCTGTGAACCTGCACGGCCTCGCTGCAGGGCTGTGCGCTCCCCCTAGGGCAGGCAGCACTCACTGCACACCCCGGGGGTGCCCGAAACCCACGGCGGGGCTTAGGGGACGGTCAGGTTTCCTGGCACCCACACAGCCTTTCTGTCTCCATTCTCCCTGCACCGGACAGCAAACCTGGTTCCGCATCGGTATTTACTTCTGTCCCAAATTTCCCTGCCTATCTGTAGCTTTATTGCCTGCAGTTGTTGCAGGGAGCGATGCATCCAGGATTTCCTGCGTTCAGGATTTCCCTTTCTGACTCTGCGTAGCAACAATTCTTAGAGACAAATCTTTTTAAAACACAACTACCAGCTGTTTGAGGCCTTTATTGACTGAAGCGATGAAAAAGCCCGAAAGTTAGCAGGAGGAACGTGCACAGAGGGGTGGCGGCCCCGCACCGCGCCGTGCAGCCTCATCTCCCCTCAGCGAGCCCCAAGCCCGTCCCCTTGCTCCCGGCAGCTTCGCCAATCGCCCCGCGGTTATGTGGCAGGGACGGCACCGGGACGGCACCGGGACGGCACCGGGACGGCACCGGGACGGCACCGGGACGGCACCGGGACGGCACCGGGACGGCTGCAGCCCCCCCCGGCCCGGCCGTACCTCTGAGGAGGCGGTGGAAGGTGTCGTGGCCCACCTCCTGCACGCCCCGCGCCATCGCCTCCACCTCAGCGGGCACCCGCGGCCCCAGGAAGCCGCCGCCGCCGCCGCCTCGTCCCTCGCCGTGCCCGTGGGCCGCGCCCGCCGCCTTCCCCGCCGCCACCGCCGCCGCCGCCATGGCAGCGCCGCCCCGGCAGGGCCCCTCCGCCGCGCCAGGGGGCGCAGCGGCCGCCGGAAGGAGCCCGGCGCCTCCCGCCCCGCTCCCTCCATGGCGGCGCCTGCGGCTCGGCCGCTCGCAGCGTGAGGCGATCGCGCCGCTCCTTCTCCCCCCCCGCCGCCGCCGCCATGACCGAGGAGCCGTACGAGAAGTTCCTGGCCCCCGACGAGCCGTGCCCGCTCCTCTCGCACCAGCACCCGCCGCGCGGCGGTAGCTGGAGCCTGAGCGAGGAGGGCTGCCTGGACGTCAGCGACTTCGGCTGCCAGCTCTCGTCCTGCCACCGCACCGACCCGCTGCGCCGCTTCCACTCCAACAGGTCGGCGGCGGGGGGCGGCCCGGGGGTGGGGGGCACCCGGCAAAAATGCCGGGGGCTGCGCTGAGGCGGGCGGCCTGGGACTGCGGCGGCTCCCGCGGGAGCCTTTGGGTCCCCTGCTGCTAAGTAGGGAAAAAAGCGACGGGCTGTAATTTGTGGGGAAGGCCTGCAAGGAAAATGCCGGTGCGGCTCTGCGGAGAAATGCCGGCTGCGCTTGTAAAATGCAAAGCAACCAGGCCTGCTTGCCAAGGGTCCTGGCTCGCCTTCCGCACACGCACACAGCCCAGCCTGGGTACGGCCATAGCGAGGCCTCAGCCTTCGGCACGTGTACGTGTGGGGTTAGTTCCTGTCCCAGAGTTGCAAAATACTTCTGCTGGTTATTGGTGTTCCTGCTGCACCATGACGGAGAGTAATGAGGCAGTCTCTCAACTGAATTTGTGTGAAATGACAGAAATTACGCTTCAGAAGTGTTCTCCAGTGCCCTGAACTGTAGGTTAAGTGGTTTGACGTGAGAAGCATTGATCAAGTACAGTACAAATATCCTGAGACCCGATAGTGGCGGGCAAAGTAAAATGCTTGGTATTTGTAGCGTGTCTGTAAGACTGATTAAATGCAAATGTGGGGAGGATCACACCTTTGTCTTGTGTATTCCCTTCATGCTGTCTTCACCTTCTGAGTGTTTTCTTCAGGCTTGCTCATCTCACAAACCCAGGTACTGAAGGCACCTCAGGAGGGTGTTTCATTTTCTTGGGCACCCATGCCCAGCCTCACACAGATTTAGCTGTTGCAGATGCATTGCACAGTCTGTGGTGCTCACAAAGGCTTTCATTTTTTTAAAGTTGCAAGTAACTGTAATGCAGTTCCCTCCTCTTCCTAACCCAGTTCATCCCAGCAAGCACAGCAGGCTGTGTGAGGAGAGGGCTGACTGCCTCCAGCTGCAGCGGTGCTACGAACCTGGCGTATCTGCACGCGGTTGGTGATGGAGTCTGAACCTCACCCCGTGTTTGAGATGTCTGGAAGCTTTGTCTGCTGTACCTATCCTTTTGTCAATACTTCATGAATATTGGAACGGGAGTAATGCTCAGAATCATGCTGTGTCACCTCTTGTATTCTGTATACTGACTGACTGCCCTGCCCGCAGAAAGAAGTCTGTGCTACTAAAACAGCACACAGATAAGGGGTGCAGTAAGGGAGAACAGAACCTTGTAAATCTGCTAAGAGAAAAGCTTCTGAGGAGTCTTTAAATTGGATAAATTCACTGCTGGCCAGATAGATGAGGGAGTGAGTCCATCACAAACAGCCAGCCAGGTGTGCAGCTAAATAACGATGGTGAGGATCTGCCTTTCTCGTTGATGGCACTGCTCAGCCCTTGCAGTTGGATAGAGGAACGTTTTTTTAGTTAGCCAGATTGAAGTGGATAGACTGATGGAACGGGAGTTCAGTGCCTGGGTTTGTGTGGTGGGTTTTGGAAGCTCTTTTCAAATTGTTTGGGCCGTATTGTAGTGCTGTGCTGACTCATAGTTGTCTCGACCTAGTTTTCACCAACATGTAAAATAAATCCAGATAGCAAGACTGGTTGCATGAGCTTGTTAAATTTTGGCTTACTCTTAGAAAACCTGTTCTGTGAAATCTGAGTCCTCAGTTGTTTTACTTTAGCAACAGCAGTAACTGGCTTTTAAAATGAAATTATAAGGGGAAAAAAGGTGTTGAGTTTTAGCATAACAGCATTTTCACACAGGTCAGGTTCCCACCTTGTACTGTCATTTCAACAGCATGTCTGATATTTTTGGTATTCAGAGCTGAAAGCAGTGAATAATGGGGCCTTGAGTATATCCGTGTTATGTTTCCCTATTAAGTATTAGTTTTGCGTGGGTTCATCATCCTAGAATTGCTTTGACTCCTGTTTGGAATGTAGATTAGGAAATACTTTGTTATTCAGAAGTCCAATTGATTTAATCCTTGGTTTTGGTTATTTCAATTTATATGGCAGTTATATGAAATTATCTTCTAGTTTAGTGTATTTAAAGAAGAAAAAAAGCAAAAATGCACGCACTATAGGAGTCATCACTCTGGGATGGAAAGTGTTAATATGTTATATTAAAGGTATAAATGCGCTGTGTATGGATTTTTGCCTTGCCATTTTTAATGTTGAATTCAGTTTGGTATTGTTTGCCTTTTAAAAATACTTAAAAACATAATACTTCCATTTGAATAATATCTTCATTGTATTGTTACTGACAAGCAAAGTGGAGATGATTTTTTGAGGCTTAAAAAACCTAAGCATTTTTCAGGACGCACAATGCCAATACATTTTCTACTTTCTATTTATTTTGTCTTGTTTTACAGGTGGAACTTGACTTCTTGTGGAACCAGTGTGGCCAGCTCAGAGTGCAGTGAGGAGCTGTTCTCTTCGGTTTCAGTTGGCGACCAAGATGACTGTTATTCTCTGTTGGATGACCAGGAGTTCACCTCTTTTGATTTGTTCCCTGAGGGCAGCGTCTGCAGTGATGTCTCTTCGTCTATCAGCACGTATTGGGATTGGTCAGACAGCGAGTTTGAATGGCAGGTAAAGTAGTTCCACTGTAAATGTAAAGTTTTATATAGACTAAGTCCTGGGTTTATCTTTAATAGAAAAATCCTCCGCTGTTTTTTTTTTTTTTTATATTCTTTAACTCCTGAACTTAAGTACAAATATCCAAATCTTCAGTAATAAGGAAAATGTTTTGTTCCATTTTATTCTGGAGTATGTGGTCTGGAGGAGAGTCTGAAGGTTGGCTCCTCCAAGAGGAGTGGTTACATATTATGCTTGCTTGGTTCTCAAAGTCATCGTGTATCTTGTAGCTGTGAGCTTAGCTCCTATGTCTTGAGGATCTGCCGTGCTGATGAAATTTGGCTATAGATGTCTGCTGGTGATTTGGTCATATTAAGTCTTCTGCAAAAAAATGGAACTGACAGATAAAGTGTAGAAGCTCTTGCTGTAGTCTATTTCCTTTTTTTTTTTTTTTTTGTGTTGGGAAGAGTACAGAGCTCGCTTTGTCTTACCTGGATGGGAAAAGTGTGAAGATGAATCATATACTGCTTTTGTTCTAATCTGTGTAGGGTGCGGTCCTAGTCAGGCATCGCCATGTGTCTTACTACTTTCTTTAGTGGTCTTCTAACGATAAGCATTTGTTCTTACACATTGTAGACTTAACTCTTTTTATTTTATAGACTTATATCAACTTTTAACATGCATGTGAGTTTGAAATAGGAAACGTGCTTCAGAATATACTGAAGACTACTTTCAAATGTTGTCATAAAGCTTAGTCTAAGCATATACAGAGCCTTATAAATGCAACATAAGGACCAAGAATACAGATTTCCAGAAAGCACAAACTCTGTTCTGTAAGATACAAATAAACTTAAGAAAACATGGACAGAATATGTTCTGAATTTCTTACAGTTTTATTCTAACTGATAATCTCTGTATGTACTCCTTGAAGTTACAAGTGCATTTGTATAATGTAGCCTGTAGGAGCAGCTCAGATTGGATCCCAGTGCTTCGCTGAGTTGTGAAATTTTAATTGCCTGATAAACTGGGGGATTATAGTGAGAAGAAGCAATTTCCCACATCTTAGTTAGCTGACAGCATGTTTGATTAGTAACTAGCTTTTTAAACAAGTATTTCTTAGGAGACGTACTTGATTCAACTTGTAGAATTTTTGAAAGCTATTTGTTGCTTTTTACAGTGTTATCTGGCAGAATCTGAGCATGAGTAATCCAACTGTCACACTTTAACTGGAAGTGCATTCAGAAATTACATGTCAGTTGTACAAATGAAGTTAGCTAAAGTTCTGCAGTTGCTTCCAAGAAAATGACAGCAATTTTAATATTTTATTTCAATTGTATTATGTAATTACGGGATGTAATATAAATTATAGAACTACTCTGAAGTTATCTTTCTTAAACTAAAATTGTGCTCAAGAATGGGAGGTTTAGGTTTAGCTTTAGCTTTAGAATATCATGAACAATTTTCACTGATGGAGAAGGAAAGGAGTGAAATGCCACGTCCTACTGCTGTTTCTTTAAATGTATTTTTTTTAAGAGGTTTGAGTGTGATTTGCTACACTTGCAGTTTGTTGGAAGATTAAAACAAGTACTGCAGGGTTTTGAACACTTATTAGGAAATAGAGTATATAGATAAGCAGTGCTTTGCTAATTTGAAAGCATGCTTTGAATTTGTTAATAGTGTTGAAATGACTTTAAATGTGCCTACGGTATTCTAAGGCTTTGTTCTTTCTCTTGCTTATTACAAGTTGCCTGGCAGTGATATTACAAGTGGGAGCGATGTACTTTCTGATGTTATACCTAGTATTCCAAGCTCTCCGTGTCTGCTTCCGAAGAAGAAAAACAAACATAGGAATCTTGATGAACTTCCATGGAGTGCAATGACAAATGATGAGCAGGTGAAATTGACTTTCTTCTGTATCTTACAGTTATCTTTATAAGAACAACTTTAATTAGTGCTGCATCTTAAAAGATATACTGGTTTCTCTAGGTGTAAATGCAACCATATGCAGTACTGTTTGATTTTTGAAATTAAATCTTGTCTTTTGCATCTATAGTAGACAGTTTAACATTCATTCAAGTTTTCTTCTTGTTTGTTTTTGAGGATACTCAGAGATGCAAGAATCATAGGAAGTGGGAT